TCTTGCTCATTTTGCTTCCGAGAAACATGCAAAACGGGACGGAAAACATGAAATTTTGCAATAATCTTGCGCCACCCTTGCACAAAACGACGATCCTTTTTATAATTTCATAGATAACAGAAGACGGTATTTTTCCTACATACACCCTCCCCTGACGTTAAAGCTGGATCCGCCCCTGTGTCCAAAGCTTATCCACAATCATCGGAAGCTCTGGATCAAATCAGGAGCGTGCAACAGCCGCCTCTGGAAGCACATCCCACATCCAAACCCCTCTGAGACAGGTTAAAACCTGAGTAAGGTAGTTGTTTAATTTTAATCGCTTAACAGGTCCCCTCGTGTTTCAGCGCTCAGCTTCTGTAGCTTTTACGGCAAATTAAAACGACAAATTGGGAAAGATTTCTCATGGAGAAATTTCATTTGATGTCGGGCGAAAGCGAAAAAGTGTGAGCGCTTTGAGGCCGCGCGCGCTCAAGGGAGCAGATTTGTGCAATTTTTTTCGGGGTGTTTGACGACGGCAAGCAATGATCTCATTAGCCTAATGAGAGCGCATTCGTTTCCCAGGTAGAGGGAAAAGTCCGGTTCGGTACGTGAAAATCATTAAGGGCGCCACCGAGTGCTATGCACTTAAACCGGCAAAGCTAATCAGATAAAACAGCCACATCCTGTATATGGATGGGAATTTTCAATTAGTTTTCCTCCCTGGACGCTTATTGGGCGTGGCGTTTCGGCGAGTTTCGCTGCAGCTGTTCTAAACCATGCCTAAATAGTCGCTGAATGAATCCCGCTTGAATGAAACTCAGGTTTATGTAAAGGAAGTTTCTGAGAAGAGTTTGTTTTGCAGATTCCTGGCAAGCCTCAAAGATCAGAATCGACCCCGCCAACCAACCAAGCTTCATTTCGTCTAGTCAAGTGCTCAAAGTGAAGGACGAGGGCACTGTAGTGCTGCCATGCCAAGTCGCCAATCCAGGTAGAAAAACTGCAACAAAACTAGAAAAAAGCGTGCTTTGGACAGACAGAAAAAACCAGTTATACCCGTAACAACGCGAAAATGTTTTGCCAACATTTTGCAGCTAACGCGTAATAAAACCGACCGAAAAACATCTTCAAACCGTTTTATCGCTTAACTGACAGATATTCCAATTTTTCAGACAGGTAGCTTTTCATTGCATTTATCAGCCGATGCGTCCATATGGAAAGCGGTTGATGCCGGATATACAATAAATTTAAATCTGGTAAAAAGCTTTCCAATTTATCAACAAATGGGGCAGGAAAATTTCATTAAAATTAATTGGGAAAACTGAAATTTTGATTTGTGCTGCAACTGGCAAGGATTTCAGTCAGTGTTTTGAAATGCATTCGTTTATCGGGCACCAATAGAGTGTTTCACTTTTCTTAAATGTTGATGTATGGATAGTACTTATGGCAAACATTACACTGATATTTATTTTTTTTGCAAAAAAGTCTTCATAATAATTTCAAAGCAAGTTAAAACAATCCGCCATTTATATGACCAGAGACGTCACAACCAATAGGATTGCGTTTTAGAGATTCATGAATAATTTGAATTTTAGCTGAATTTGTTTATTAAATATTTAACAAAATAGCATTAGATAGATAGTATAAACTTATTTACATATTACCATAGATTAATGTTCAGTTTCTAGTAATTTTTGATACAATAAAAACACCCTATTAGTCAAAAAGGCAAAATTTGGAATCAATAAATCGCTCACTGGGAGACAAGTTCTCCAGCACAGCTCGACTGATCCAGTCCAAGTAGTCCCCTTTTTTCTTCCCTTCCAGGTCCCTACGTTTTGGTGTGGAAAAAAGGAATCGCCGTCCTGTCGGCGGGCAAAACGCTCGTCTCTCCAGATCCGAGAGTCACTCTTAACCCGGATTTCAGTTTGGAGATCAAAGAAGTCGGTCCGGAGGATGCCGGCGATTACGTTTGCCAGATAGGCACTCTGGAGCCGAAGGAAATTACCCACACGGTCGAAATTTTAGGTAAGACTTTTCAGAATTGTCCATCATCGCTCCAAGGGCTTCGCAAAGCAATTCAATGAGGATTTTCAACAAAGCACCGACATTTTTTTAGCTCTAGGTTAAGGAGCAAAAGCAATTGGAATTGCAGTTGTTGCTGTAAAAGTGCGTTCTTTCAAATTTTAAACACATTTTGACTGTTTTGAGCAACAGTGTCCTCATTGGTCCCTAAAATTCGAGAGTTCATTGAGGTACGTTTAAGTTCAATCAGCGATAATGTTTTTAACATATTGACAATATACAAGGTGTTTCATGAGGAAGGGGCATTGTTTTAACCACGTATTCTACGTCCGAAAATAACTCTAGTAGACATAAAAGTGTTCCAATTCCGTATTTGCAGGGTGTTGAAATTTAATTTAAAACATGTAAAATGATGAATTTCTTCAAAACGATATCAAATCCAATATGCGAGCCAGTTGTTGATGAATCTAAACGATTTATAGATTAGAGGTCGTTTTTACCAGCTTTCTGCAAGCTGGCACCCTATCCTCCCCTTTCTACCCATAAATCCACTACGCTTTCACAATTCTATATTTTCCATCTGAGAACACAAAGGACTATCGATCCATTTAGTACTCTGTCGGTAGCTAACTGAATACACCTTTTCGAAAAAAAGACACCCAAGTACGGAATAAACATGATTATTTAATAATGAAGAGATTTTAGCGTCCGAAGTTATAAATGAAAGGGATTTTTCGCGGCTTAAGCGGACAAATAATTTTTGCGAATAAGAAAAATTGTGGTCTTGCACATCAAACCTAAATGAATATAATATTTACCAATTATGAGTTTCAATGCATTTTAAAATCTGATGATGGCGCTGTTGTCTCGCCGAAACGTTATGAAATAAACGATATTCAAATTTTTATTTCACATTTTAACTGAAACCCAGGAAAGAAAAGAATGCAATAGTAACTAATTCAGGCGACTTCGGAGGCCAAAGTTCTCACTCTGAGCTACCCGTAGGTCGAAGAGCAATGTGTTCCAAAGTCAGCGTGCAGGCCATCGATCTTCCAACTTCAATTAGCGGAAAATCATGACTGCAACAAATTGATGAAAAAGAAAGTCAAATAATCCGTTCGCGTCGGCTTGGAGAAGAGATATGGGTAATATACTTCCACCGAATTAAAGGCAGCTGCGCTTCACTCTAATAAATTACGAGTCACAAAGGAAAATATTTTCTTCCAGGGCAAAAACACAATGGCCCAGCTTTTCTGTGTGACATATTTGCCGCGCACATTCTTTCCCGTATATTCTCCAGCCGACATGGAAGATATTAAATTTTCTTCGTTTATGCAAAGGCGGCCTGAGCAAGATGCACTGTTTCGCCATTTTTGCCATGAAATGGATAAATTAGCCTGCGGGTTGCCGTACTAGTCACGTATGAGATCCGTCGCAACAACTGCCGTTCGGTAATCCTAAGAAATGTTAAAAACGTAATCCATTTCCATAAACTCGCAACCGGTTCCGCTAATATGACAAGCGAGCTGAGCACTAAATCCTCTCCAAATATACAACCATCATATTTTTGCCGGAAAGCCACCATTAAAACTAGATTAAACCCATATGTCAACCTTTTTCGCCACTTTTCTTATATAAATGTTTCACTTAAGTCCGAAAGGTCCGCTTAATGCACGCGAAAGAACAACGTTGCGCGGAATTACGGCGTCAAAAGCTACAGCAGTTGTTGAATTGGTTGAACTTTTGAATTAATTTCGAGTGCTCAAAACAGCCAAATACTTAAATTAATTAATTTCCTTAATGCCGACAAGGCACACCGAAAACAAAACGTTGTCGCCATTAAGAAATTAAATCGCCTGCAAATCCCTTGGATATACAGATGAAGAATTGTTCAATTTCAACACGGTTTCGCCCAAATTAAATTACAGCGTATGCACTCAAGGATATTTTTGTTAAGTTCGCGCTCTTGAACTTTCAGTGCCGCCCCGAATACATTACGTCTCGTCAAATGGACGTGTCGAAGTGAAAAAGGGATCGGCCGTCCGTCTGGAATGCAAAGCGCTGGGAAATCCGCAGCCCAAAGTGACCTGGTCCAGGAAAAACAACATCCTGCCCGGAGGCGAGCAGACAGTCACCACTCCGGTGCTCGCTCTGGATAAAGTGGATCAGCATCAAGCCGGCGTCTATCAGTGTGTAGCCAGTAACGGAGTGGGCGAGGATGACAGGAAGCAAATCCAGCTACATGTTTTGTGTAAGTAGAAAAGCTCAATTTCCACACTTAAAACGCGAGCAGCACAGTTTTAATTGCCCCTAATTGTCGCCATCGGCTCTAGAGCCAATACATATTGAGCCGTTCCTAACTGTATGCTCTCTAACTCTATGCTGTGTTGGCAAAGAGTTTCTTCAAGAAGAAGTTGATGTGTACACACTGGATTTTTCACATAAACTTGTTTGATTGAAAAAGTTTCTTCTCCAGAAAAAATGCCCCAAAACTTTACCAGTTTCAAGCAATCAAACCGCTTTTAGTCAAAGAATACATTGGTCGGCTGGCGCTTGTATTCAAATGGCGCTCAAAATCGCCTTTGTAAAAATTGAAACATCGAATGAGCAATCTGGTCCAATTTCAGACAATTGACGCTTGGACTACAGGCGGTAAAGCTGAGTGGAAGGTAGTCTCGATACGCTGCAGCCTCACGTAGTGGACTTTTACACATGGCTGTCAGACAGAGGTCAATGTTTTCTTCCATTTAATCGCGTCAGTTTAGTAAGCGGGTCCAAAGTATTTGACAAATTTTATTTTCGAGAGCATTTGAGACAGAGTGGCTGCTGTGAGGCGTTTTTGCGTGGTGTAACCGTCCCTTATGAAACCGTGGCAGCATATGTTGTGTGGATAATTCGTAATTAGTTAACTGTTAATGTTAATGCCACGAACGTCAGACAGTTCCGTCTTACTCAGAAAGCACAGGAGATCACTTCGCTCACAGCCTCATCGCCTTTGATAATGTCCACCGCAGTTGTGGACGAAACGTCAGGAAGAAATTCCCATGCACTACGGCTTCAAAGCCCGAAAAACATGTCTAAATGTGTTCCCCACTAGCATAAAGGGAGCGCTAAAGCCGCCACTCGCCATCCAAAGCTTTTGACTCATAAACCTTTGAAGTCGAAAATGTCGAGAGCGGATTACGTGAAATTTACATCATTGTTGATGCGATAGGCTGCATTTGAATTATGTGACATGTTTGCCAATATAATCGCAACCGGACCTAATGATAACTAACACTCCACAATAAATCCACCACTTACAAATGAACTACTGCTTCGTGCTGCTCTGGAACATTAAATGATTTATCGAAATTTGTGTCATTGATTTTTGGCAAAAATAGGCGCTCCACTGTCGAGACAACTTTTGCTGGAGGCCCTCGGAAGGCTGCTTTATTATTTAGGGCTTTTCTCAATTATTCATCGTTGCAAAGTGAAGTGTACTCGTTTTTCGGATCCGATGCCAGATGCTGATTTTCTTTGAGATATTAGTTTAAAGCAGCCGAAATAAAATCCTCGATATCGCATAGAAAATGTCCGAAACGCAACAAATAGCAATTAACAATTATTAATAATTCATCGGTTAAATATGTGTACAATCCCAGCAAATGTTACGTTCAATAAATAGAGGGGACATGTTGGAAATGTCCAGGAAACAATACTGAATATTATTTTCCCAGAATAAACAATCATCGGGACGCGTCCAGGTTATTTTTATCATTTCCATGATAAGGCAAAGCAAATATGAATGCGAATCGATTCTGAGGAAAGAACTCATTTTAGTCAGGAGTCCAAGACGCCATTCTCTGAGTTAATGAGTTTTAACTCATCGGTTTATGAGTTGTAACTCATTTACCGATGACCGAGACTAGAATTTTAACATCGAAGAAAAAGGCCATCAACATTTTTGATCTGCAAGCCATTTGCGCAGCACTGCGTTAACTTCAAAAAAATTAAGTTACTTTTTCCGTAGAAACGATAAATATTTGGTCTAAAACGGAAAAACTGGATATTTTCAAGAAGCTTAAAAAATCTTCAGGGCGATGAGGGTGACGAGTTTTTCAAATAGTTGATTATGTGCTTTGCTTTCTCTGATCGTTTTTTGGGAAAACCTGGTTTTCTTCGAATAAAAAACAAGTAATTGTGTGCCAAATTCAAAGGTAAAACGGGAAGAAGACAATAAAGACAACGAGTTTTCTTGTAAAGTCGATCTCCTAGTTTTTTTGCACAAAATACTCTCAGTTTGCCAGTATTCAAACAGCAAAACGTTAAGGAAAAACGCGTTTTCCGTTTGGAGACGGTTTTGTTTAGAAATATCGATCCAAAACTGAAGAAACCGGAATTACAAAAAAAAACAGATTATTCAGTGAAGAAGATGACGCGTTTTCCAAATAATTGATTATAAACTTTCGCTTGTTCTGTTCGGGAAAATATTGCTGGGAAAAAATCTGGAAAAAGTTATTAGGGATTTGTTCAAAGTTCGAAGCTGCAAAGTGTTAAATACAATTTGTTTTATGATTTTTCACAGAAAATACCTGAAGAATGTCAATATTTTTCAGTAAAACTGAAAAATAATCCTTTTTTTGCGT